TGTGTCGCTAAAGTTTCGTCGGAACGAAGTTACGGAAAGTTAATTAACAAACGGAGACGTAACAATATATTGTGAAAAGAATATATTTTTCATTGTTCTACGTCTATGAATCGAAGGTTTTGTTTGCTTCGTAAATCACTTATTTTCCTGCTTATGTAAACAATTAGGCTAAAGTTGACTAGAAATGACTGGATATCTATAACATGTATATATTGTGAAAATAATATATTTTTCATCGTTCTAAGTCTACGAATCGAATGTTTAGTTTGCTTCGTAAATCCCTTATTAAAGCACTTATTTTCCTGCTTATATAAACAATTAGGCTAAAGTTGACTAGAAATGACTGGATGTCTATAACATGTATATATTGTGAAAAGAATATCTAGTATTATTAAACATGAATAAACAAATTATCCTTAAACAATTTATTTGTACTGTTAATATTTTTGGCGAAAATAATAAATTACTCTCTTTAAGAACAGCTAAAAATAAATAATAAATGTTATTGAACTACTTTGATTAATACAGAGAAAACTATCCTTGTAAAATTATTTACGAATTCATGCAAAAATGATAGAAGTCAAGGAATGCGTTCAATTTAAACTATAAAATCAACTGAAGTCCCGGATCACAGGTCCTGTTAAAGATTATACGCAAATATATTGTTTTCTAACTATATATTATTTTTGGAAGGGTTAAAATCTGGCAATCCAAAGGTAAACTCTAGTAAAAAGGAAATAATTCTGAAAACAAAATTACAAAAATTACAAAAAACAAAATGAAATGTAAAGCAGTGCTTGTTTTAAAATAGTTATACAACCATATAAAAATATACAGGTACTGTTTTAAACCCAGCAGCCTAGAATCATACTAAACTCAAGTTGACTTTGTTATGATTAATTCTGTACAAGGCGCTGAGATAGTCATCAGCATTTAATGTTTGATCATAAAAATAGCTGTTTGTATAGTCGGTATAGTTAACATACTCGCTATTCTTTTTAGCCATTTTTCGTCTGGATGTATAATACCTTCTATATATTTCATTAAGTAATATCAGAAAATCTTCTTTTTTTTTGGTATCTAATAAGCAAGTTTCCAATATATAGCTACCCCATGCGTCAGCGGTAAATTTATGAGCTTAAACACTAAAACACAAGGTTCGATTCCCCAAAGTAAAGAAAGCGCAGATAGCCCATTGTGTAGCTTTGCGTTAAAACAACGATAAATACATAAAGTTGTTTAGATTTCAAAGATCAGTACTTCGTATAACTTTACAAACTAAGCTCAATAGTTTCACCCAAATAAGTTGAAGTGTAAGTTTTCATTACTATAGTGTACATTTATTGCCATATAAAATATTTAAAGTTTTTTTTCGATAAGATTAAACCAGTAATCATTCATTTAGAGGGGGAAATCATAAAATAAATTGTTAAATGTGTACTGTGCGTTATTTCTTTACATGCCCGGCATGGACAGATGGCGCTTGACTCGCAATCTGAGGGTCGCGGGTTAGAGTCCCCGTCTTACTAAACATGCTCACCATTTCAGCCGTGGGAACGTTATAATGTTATGGTCAATCCCACTATTCGTTGGTAAAAGAGTAGGTGGGTGGTGATTACTAGCTGCCTTCCCTCTAGTCTTTCACTGCTAAATTAGGGACGGCTAGCGCAGATAGCCCTCGTGTAGCTTTGCGTGAAATTCAAAACAACCAAAATTTCTTTACATAGTACTAGAAAATAGAACATCCATACATGTATGACATAATGAACATAAGGATAGTTATCTTCATTATTTTAAAATGATCTTGTTCATAGCATAATACTGGTTTAGTGATTATAAGATGTTTGGAAAACATTTTGAACAAAAATAATGTGCTAGAAAATCCAGTACACTATCTATTGCTATACACACTCTAAAAATTAGATTCCAATAATCCATATAGCAACTTAATGCCACAATATTTAATAATAAATGCTAATCATTACGTTTGAATTTCCTTCTTAAGAATTTATCTTGGAACACTTTTACTAGAAACCGTCGTTTCGTTTGTCAATATTTGTACTAACTCTCTATTTCTAATGTTTGTAGTTAAACACAAAGCTACACAATGGACTATCTGTGCCACTAGGGACATATTTCTAATGATTAATATAAAATACCGATATCCATGAAAATCCAATATTCAAGTATTGAATCATTTAAACTTTTTTTGAATAATTTTAAATAAAATGAGTAAACTGGAAACCATAATGACAACATTGTTTTATTTAACTTTTAATTCTGATTTTCTACTAGGAATTTATTTGACAGCAGTCATGGTCATAACATCCATATCCGTGGTCATGACAGTTGCGGTCCTCAACTTCCATTATCGTGGACCAAACAAAAAGGAAGTCCCTTCGTGGACGCGGCGTATGGTCCTACAGCGTTTCGCTACTTGTTCCTGCTTTACTTGTATGCCTACCAAAAGACCCACTTCTAGTCACCAAGACAGTGTCCTCTTGAGGGATGTCGGATACACATATCCACGTCCAGAAAATCTCAGGTTCCATGTAGATACTGCGCCGGATGACCTAAAGGATGCGCAAGAGTTTTCCAGTAACGAATCAGTCACCAACGTCAACTTGAATGAATACAATCACAACGCTAGTAAGCGAAGTTCTCGGAGAACTGTATTTAATAACGGCGTTCAAGAGGAAATTATTCGGGCTCTTCGTTATCTAATGATGAAGCAGGAAGCTGAGGATAACCATACACGAGTGGTTAACGAATGGCGACAATTGGCACTTATTATAGACAGATGTCTCTTCTGGATTGTTCTCGTTGTCACAGTCGCGTCTTCACTGTTGTTTTTAGTTATCGTTCCTCTGTATCGCCGAAGTTTTGTATATGGAATACCTTAGTTTGGTCACCTTAGAAAGTTTATAAAATGTCTTGTAGCTTCCAGAAACAGGAATAATAATAATAAATAATCTTTACAAGATGCTACTGACAGTTATAGAACGAATATAAATCCTTAATACTGACTATAAATTCTATTCTCTCTTAGATTGGCTAACATTACTGATGCCAAGACATATCAAACTCTGCCAAAATGGGTTTTTATGGAGAAATAAGGTTTTCTCAGAGGGACGTGACCAATTTATTGATCAGTCCTTTTCTTTCTTGCCATAAAATTTTGTCACATTCTTAACTTATTCTCTTATTTGATATTAGAGAGAAAAATTGTTATTTACTTCGTACATCCGGGACTAGAACATGAAACACTTCAATCTAACTAGAACGAAAGTATTATCTTCAGTTATATACCATAACTAATTTGTAAGGTGAAAATCTGGAGTTCGTTCCCCCGTGGTATACAGCGCAAATAACCAATTGTGTTGTTTTACGTTTAAACAACAAAGCAGAAAACACAAACGAACGTTTAACCAATGTCATTTATTGCGAAACGTTCTGATCTTTTGCGTAATACTGCACTCTATATACAGAAATAAGAATGTCATAATCTGTCCCCGAATGGGTCAGCGGTAAATTTACGGACTTACAATACTAAAATCCGGACTTTGACTCCATACGGTGGACAGAGCGCAGATAGCTCATTCTGTAGCTTTGAGCTAAAACCAACAATATCATAACTAAAATTTAGTAAAAACAATCTTACATTCCAAAGGAAATGTTAATGGCTAACTTACGTTTCGATTAACGATTTTCATGAATATTGGTACATAAAGTAACTATAGTCTAAATGGATCTTAATATAAATGTTGCTAATTGTTTATGGAATTAGAAAATTTCGTCAGCTTATCCATTAAATGGAGCTTTACTTGCAATTACTTTCATCACACTGTTGTGGTGAGATTAAGATGGCAGTGCTGAAAGAACATCCTTCCTGTAGTTTCTGTATTTCGGCAACTAAGAATTATTAGGAGTAAATATAGAAATGTGCAGATTTACTTGCGTAAATTACACATTTATTGCAGGAAGCATGTGTTATATATTCCTGTTTAGTTTACACACAAGTGAAAAATATTAATAATAAGTAAAACTAACTACATTTAGTTATATACTTCTATGGATTATAACTACTTATGCATTATTTTAGTATTAAAACAATCGAATGACACTGGAATTCGTAGTATTCTTCCTATAACTACTACAAAGGATTTCCTAATGCTTGTTAGTTTTAGAGAGGAAATACATAAGGAATTTGAAGCATTACTTTTGCTGTTGTTGAGGTACGTAAGTTAATGAAGATGACATCAGATACGATTAATTCTTCTTATGGCCACCAGATGGTACCCTATCATTTAATTTGTATCATTGTTTTTGAGCCATGAGAATCAGCAAAAGTGTGGAAGTCAATTAGAGAATAATAAAAATTAATACAAACTAGCTAATATAACAACAATTAAGAATATCCTTTCTTTACTTTGTCTTTAGTACAATTCGCCAAATTATGCAACAGGATAAATTGTTTTTAGTTTTTTTTAAACTCTCATGAATTTCATCTAATAATTATTTCAAACCAACTATGTATAATTATGATTTTATAACTTTACGTGTAAGAAGAATTATTAATTCTATGTACAATACTTACTGAATATATCACATGAATTGTGTTGTATATGATAATTTCTGATCCAAGAAACCAACATTTTGTAGAAGGCTGGTTTGAATTAAACGTAGTTGTTATAACATTTCTTCAGTTTGATACTTTACCACGGTGTTTTGTGTCGATAGTATGGTCACGATAACTCTATCTTGAGGAGCCACTGGGACAAGAGATAACAGAAAGTCATTATGATTACTAATTAATTTTCCCTATATGTATATATAACTTAATGCTAAGACTAATAAACACACTTTCACATATATATCAAAATTTATTCACAAAAAGTGTCCAAATTATCAACATCTATTACAACATTTCACAAATGATCACAGATAGAGTAAGCACTGACATCTAATCTGCACTTAAATTTTCGTAGCTTACAAATCCATTTTCTGTTGTTTCTATATTGTTTGATCATTTGTTTGAATTATAATTTCAGAACTTTAGCTCAAACTCATACTCAATTTATTCTCCTCTAACTTCAAATTACATCAGCTCTAGTTCTTCATAAATCCAATAAACAGATTTGCTAAAACCGAATCATACACAGTTATAAAACTTCTATTGTCCAAACTTTAAATAAATATTCGTATTAAAACTGAAATAAATAATACTTATACCCGTTCAGATATTACGTGTACATGTTTTATCAAGATCATTTTATGTCACAATATTTTCCAACTTGATGTCACTGTATCAATAAGGAGTAAATGTGCAGATTTACTCGCGGAAAGCGCAGTTAACCGTCTGTAGCGCAGTTAACCGTCTGTAGCACAGTTAACCGTCTGTATATACTTCAATATTCGATAGTTTTAAGTTGACGATCTCCAGAAAAGTATTTACAACAAATTTATAAAATTCAAATATTAATTTCTAAACATATATCTATTTTGCTTGTCCTTAATAAGGTCCTCTTATCTGTAGAAAACTAAAATATGGTCAAATGTTAACATCTATCTTTAACATTTTCAATGAACAAAATGTTAATATATCACTGAATAGAACTCATAACAATGAAAACTTCATGTTTTACTAAATTATTTCACTATGTTAAAATCAAATCTATAAGCACTAACTAATTCTTATGTTAGAAGACGAGGTGACATTCTCTTACAAAAGTTAGTTGAAAAAGCCAACTTATTTGATTATATTCGCTGTTCTCGATATCAATTGCATATATAATTTCGTGTGAACATGCCCGCCAAAGCCTTCTTTCATGTTTAAAAAATACTAAACACTCTACATTTTAGTCTCCACAAGAAGAAATCAAGTTTTCTAAAAAGGTTCCATGACTTATCAACCTCTTTAGTGTTTTTTTTCGAGGCTTAACACACTTTTCTATAAGACGCTTCTTTCCGAAATTCTAAGTTTGACCAATCCAGTCTTGACGTCTTTAACTCAAAAAAACATAAATAACAAAAGCGTATGTCATACTTTACAACCTAAGATATAAGGTACTAAATTTTGTATAACAAAACAAGAACTTTTTGGTTAATTTACAATGTTATACAAAGTACATAATCTTATTTGACATCTAAGACCAAATTTTTCTAGTATCTGCACTTTTAGCCATCAGGTGGCTAATTCCCAGCTTTGAGTAACATATTACGAAACCTTTAAATTAAAAACAATAACTTAATGACGGTAAAGTTGGATACCTTGAATAATTCTTACCCTATTATAGGAAACTCGCTATGCACAAACAGTTAAACTGACGTTTTTCTTTTCACGAAAACTAAAATTAACGCAAAATTATTTTGTCTGTATTTTTATTGTGAAATATTTAATTCGGTTGAGCTCATACTGTTATTACGTGCATACACAATCAGTACACTATAATGAAGTGGATTAAGCAGTGAATTTCTGGCTATTGTAATGAACAGCCAGATTAATCAGCACGTCGTTACATGTGAACATTTTCTACATATATTAACTTGTGCAGCACAAAACTTTGTAAGTAACCAATGTAAGTAAAAGTGTACATAATTTGTATCGTCTAGTTGAATAAAGCCTATCTTTAAACCACAGTTATCAATTTTTACTGTGAAATAAACCAAATTTATTAATTTTTACTGTGGAATAAACCACATGTATTAATTTTTACTCTGAATTAAACCACAATTATTAATTTTTACTGTGAAATAAACCACATTTATTAATTTTACTGTGAAATAAACCACATTTATTAAATTTTCCTGTGAAATAAACCACATTTATTAATTTTACTGTAAAATAAACCACATCTATTAATTTTTACTCTGAAAAAACCACATTTATTAATTTTTACTGTGAAATAAATTACATTTATTAATTTTTACTCTGAAATAAACCACATTTATTAATTTTTACTCCGAAATAAACCACATTTATTAATTTTTACTTCAAAATAAACCACATTTATTAATTTTTACTGTGAAATATATCTTCAAATGTCCTCTTCCTTCAACAACAGTCCTATTCATCTTGGAATATACTAGCTTATGATCAACGCAGCAATAAAGAGATGAACGAATCTAAAGAAACAAAGAGAGTTAATTCGCTAAACAATAGATGTACAAGTCCTAAGTTGGAAGCAAATTTTCGTTCTGTTGTCTGACCAACCTTAAAATTAAAAACAAAAGATAACTTTAATATGAATTTTTAAAACATGACGTATTTTGTTTTAACCTCCTCAATTTTTAGATTTTTAAAAACTAAAAACCCGTAATTTATATAACAAATATGGCTATATAACTGTATAGACTGTTTTATTGAATCATTATGCATATACATTACACATGTCCATACATACGAGGAATTTCTCGGTTGGTCATGTTATGGTTATGATGCCTAGCGTAAGCTTAATGTGCTTTATTTTACAATTTACAAAGCTTGAGGTGTGAGTTGGCCCTGTGATAGAGCTCTTGGTTTAAGAACTGGAGAGCCGGGTTCGAATTCTTGAGATATCACAATATGCTTTAAGCTTTGAGTGCGTTATAAGAGACAAAGTCAATACCTTAAAGTGGTAGGGTTCTGCTAACTTGTTGCGTACAATCTGATCAATTGTCCAAAATTAAAAATGGCGGCTGATAATCTTAGTAACCTTGCCGTAAATTCAAAATGCTTAAATGAAGTAAAAGCAAAGTATTTGATACTTTTTACGTAAATATGTAAAGCACAGAAAACCCAGCCATGCCTAGCTATCAAAACCAACAAAATAGCCGTTTTTCTGAGATAATAGTTTCTAAGATGGCGATGTATATCAAACAATTAGTCGAACAAGGCAAGAAAAACAAACATCTTTTACTGACTGGTGGTGAAGTGAACTATTGTTAAAGTGAGAGGCTGGAAAACTCTTTGCACCCCGTTTGAGTCATGAGTTCATTTATGATTTGCATACGATACTGAAGCGTTATTTGACAGCTTTTAGTAAACAACTGGATGTATTAATGATAAGCAAAAGTGGATAAAGATGATTATTTTACGAATTTGTTTGTATTGCTGCCTATGCTCATGCACTATCATCCTACTAGTTTCACAAAGTAATGAAAAATAATTTCCAAAAAATCAATATATAGCAAAAAAAAACTTTGTGTACATTGGAACGAAAAAAAAAGACAGCAAGCTGACAAAAGTAGCAAATAGAATTTCAAAAGAATGAGCAAACAATGTCTCTTTGTTTGTCGTAGCAGCCTTAAAGATCAAGTTTGTTTGTTTGAGTAGAAATAAATTGATTGAATAGGAAATTTCAATATAAATTAATTTGGTATATTTAGATATTGAATTTCATATATTTAGACTAATTTAATCCTTAGTAATCAAGCCTATATCTACCGAGTTAGACTAACGTTACAATACGTAGTAAGGCTAATTAGTTGTAATTAATTAACAATCTTCTATTTTCTCAATAAACTATTTCCATCTCCTTTGATTTAGCAATTTAAAGCTTGTCTTGTCTCTTTATAAAGGTTTGCTCAAGAAAGTAACTTTAAAACCGTGTTTCTTTGATAACTTATAAACTATTAATTAGTTAAACTTATTCACGGTCCTCTAACGGTAAAAGATGTTTTCTAAAAAAACGTTTCTTTAAACTTTCTGAAATTGTTCTGTGGTAATAAAGACAAATAAGAGGTTCCTATCCAATGAAACCTGTTTCTTGTCCACCGGTAGTGAAAGCTATTTTGTAAAAAGAAAAGTTGAGAGTTATTTTTGTCTGTTTCTGCTACAAACACTTTATAAAACAGTAATCAAGGAGGTTTTGTACAGAAAACTCAATTTTTGACATTCCTTTGTTTGCCGCTTCGTAGAATACTTTAAAGGTACACAGTAACAACGTAGTACTTAGAAAACAAGAACTACCGCACGCTATTCATTACTTACCTGTCATTTACAACTGGGCGTAGAACACGCTGATGTGACAGAGAACACCCTCATTAGTTCTTATACACCTGCAAGTAGAATACGCACATGGTAGACGAGAATAGAATGCTCTCATAAGGCCTAGAAGAAAAAAAATGCTTTGTTTCCGATTTCCAGACTGACCCTATGTAACAACGCCCAACCTTAAATTTTTTTCAAAGCTTCCCCCCCAAAAAAAATTATCTCCAAAACGACCCTAATGAAAAACGCCCTTCGATTAATTATTTTTATTTTCATTAGATTATTACACCAATCTGCTACCATATTGTATTAAGTGAAAGTCATAAGAAACTACGTCTCTGATTCTCTGATTCGTTAGTTGGTGTGGTGTATCAACACTCTCAGCCAATTATCTCTCACAGCACAGGTTCAGCAAATTGACTGATCACGTGACCACTTTGTATTTGTTAGAGCTTCAATACTACTGACTTTTAATATAATATGTGTATCTTAACAAAATTTGGAAAATTTTCAGTAAACGTTACAAGTCTTTTATACACAAAAATCTGATTTTTTAGTGAAGTATTTTTACTGAATATTTGTTTGCAAATATATTGATTTTTTTAACACTCTGAGTGCAAAGTAACTTTAATATTAAGATTAAAAATATTTTTTTTCTTCGTCTCAAAAATCTCAAATGTTATTTATGTAATTTCCAAAAACCTCCTAAATATATTTCAAACGT